ATAAGAAAATAGATGAGCTCAGAAACATGCTGGAAGCCATGAATGCCCAGCATAAGAAAGAAATGGAAACCATGATCACCCAACATAAGAAAGAAATGGAATCCATGAAACAGATTCAAACAGATATTCACGAGATCAAAAACTCCACTGAAGGTATCCACAGCAGATTAAGGGAATCTGAAGATAGAATATCAGATATAGAAGACAGGATCGCGGTTAGAGACCATGAAAAAAGAGATTTCTTAAAAATAGTAAGGGACCATAAGAAATCAATCCAGCAGTTGCTAGATGATGCAAAGAAGAATAATATAAGACTGATACGAGTTCACAAAAAAACAGGAGAAAGTACAATTGACGTAAAAAAACTGTTCACAGAAGTAATAGTAGAAAAGTTCCCAGACAGAGGTGGAGAATTGGACATACAGATAAGTGAGACATATAGAACTTCAACTAGCCATGATCAAAAAAATCTAGACCTAGACATATAATAGTCAAGATCCCAGAAACCCAAGAGAAGAACAAAATTCTACAGGCAGTTAGAGAAAAGAAACAAATCAACTACAAAGGAAAGCCCATCAGAATCACGGCAGATTTCTCAATGCAAACCCTCAAGTCAAGGAGAGCCTGGAGTGAAGTATTTCAAGCCTTAAAAGAAAATAACTTCCAACCTAAACTGTTGTATCCTGCAAAATTATCTTTCAAGATCGATGGGGAAATTAGATACTTCCACAACAAAGAACACATGAGAAATTTCATGAACACCAAACCAGCACTCCAAACAATTTTAAGCAATATCCTAGAAAAAAGACAATGAAGGTCACAACTCCATGAGGCCCAAGAGAGGGAAGCCACCAGGCAAGGTAAGACACTAAACGGAAAGGGGTGGGGGGGGAATAAGAAATAAAAGAACCAACAACAGTAAAACATCATGCCAAGGATGAATCACTATCTATCAATTATAACTATCAATGTTAATGGCCTCAATTCACCAATCAAAAGAAACAGACTGGCAGAATGGATTAAAAAGGAAAATGCAACAATATGCTATATACAAGAAACACACCTAACTCAAAAGGAAATTCATAGACTGAAAGTAAAAGGATGGAAAACAGTTCTCCACATGACAGGAATCCAGAAGAAACCAGGCGTAGCAATCTTACTTGCAGACAAAGTAGATTTCAAACCAAAACTAATTAAGAGAGACAAAGATGGTCACTACATCCTTGTGAAGGGAAAAATCCA